ACATTATTTTTAGTTCAAATAATCCATTATTATTTTATTGCGAATACATTTAATACAAATTTTGCAAACAATGCGTTTTATTCAATAAAGCAAAACAGCAGTTTGAAATTCACATTCGAATCCCATTAGAGATCAACATTAGAACTCGATTAGGGAATTAATATTTTCTCGAGTCGAGAACTATGTCCCATTTTTGTTGAGATCGCTATGATTCTCGATAGTTTTTCGAGTCGTTCTCTAACGTTTGAGATTGGAGAATGTGGCTAGTTCTCCAATCATTATCTAATCGATGACTAACCTCAATGTTTGCTGGGGCATGACTCCCCATACAAAAAAATCGGTACTGTTTTCCCTTGGAATTATAAAATCTATTATATTTTAAGACCTGCACCAAAAAATTTCGGAAAAGTATTAAAATTTACGTGAGCTGGACCGATTGAAAAATACCTCCTTGATTTTTTTATGAATAAAAATAGGGTTTTTAAAGTATTTTTTTGACCTTTCTTTAAAGATTCGTCTAAGAAAACTTAAATAACTCGGTCAAAACTTCACCGATTTAGACTTATAAGGTATGATGGCAAAGGTATTTTCTCAGCCGTTTGCATGATTTAATTCAAAGAATGAACGAGTGTCATTCCAAGTTTAATTGAGATGTGTTGATATTTGAAAAAATAAAAATTGAGACATGAGTTTTTTTTGCAAAGAAATAAACATGGTGAGAAAATACCTTTCCACTGATACCTCATAAGTCTAAATCGGTATAGTTTTGGTCCAGTTATTTAAGTTTTTCTTAAACCAATCTTTGAAAAAAGTAAAAAAAAACAGCATTATAAGTCTCATTATTATCATTCCGTTGAAATTTTTTTTAAATATTTTTATGCAGATTTTTTTAAGCTTAAGCTGTTTTTGAGTCGTCCGAGGGGACTTTTTTCAAAAAATCATTCAAGAAACTAGGTTTATTCATATTTTCAAATCGGTCCAGCTCATGTAAATCTTAATATTATTCCGAAATATTTTGGTGGTATAATAATTTTTGTAATTCCGGCGGCAAAACAGCAACTTTTTGGTGATGCAGCCTAATGTACATATGCACATACATACATACATATGTATATATGGATATCTTAACAACCCTGCCTTAAGATCTTAAGATGTGCCAACAAGCAGAACTTTATTTGTTTATATGTACATTAGCGTGGGCCGAAAATCCGCTTTTTTGATTGGTAATAGCAAAAATATGGTTCATTATGCTCTAAAAACAAGTCCATCAAAGTTCAAGTGCTAAAAAAAAATTGTCTTGGCTTACTTTGATTCTCCTTAAAAAAGGTCCATATACCAAATTATGTAGGGCTTATACTTACGAAAATAATTGCAATTTTAGTAAAAAAAAATTATTTATTAATGTACTTACTAAATTTTATTTTTTGAGCACATTGAACTTTGATCACGTGATCCCGGGATCCCGGCCTTTTTTAGGTTCGAACATCCCGGATTTCTTGACAAATAATCCCAGGATTTTCGGAATTTGTAATTTGCACTGATAGCAATAATAGAAACTCTGGACTTGTTCGAGTTGCAATCACAACCGCAGTGTTGCGCGAATTATTAAAGTATCGCGTTCTGTGTGAATTTCTAGCAATGTATTATCAGTTGGGCAGTTGCAACAATATTGCCATTTTTCATCAGTACGGCAGTAATGCCGCTTTTAATACGTGCCTCGAACAGGTCCTCCTTTTCTTGACCAGTGTTGGCTAAATTTCTTTTTTTTATATTTTTATAAATGTCTAGCGCAATATACATATAACACCGTGCGATTGTAAATTTTACGCACAAAAATCAAATATTTGCGAAACCATGGGCCAAATATAATAAAATTGCGCTTTAAGTTCTTCCCTCTGACGTCAGTAATTCAAAAATGATTAAAAAAATTCAGTGAAATGCGCTTAGAGAAAGAGTTTGGGTACCAAATTAAAGACAAAATTCTGTATAATTTAAACAGATTCAATTTTTTGGTGCATAAGGACGGGTAAGTATTGAAAATGTCCTTTTAAAATTTTATCCTTGAAATTTTGCAATATTTATTTTTGAAAAAATTATATGTTAAAAACTTATAAAAACAAGGTAACATCCTCGAAATTCGTCCTTCTAACTTTATCAGCTTAAAAAATTACCTATTCGTCCTTGTGAATCCAAATTTTTTTTATTTTATTTTTCAATTCTAAAGAAATTTCCTCTTCCATTTAGTACCCATATTTTTATTCTACATTGCATTGGATTTTTTAAATAGTTTTTGGAATTAATCATTCATGAAATTACAAAGTCCTTTAAAATAAATGCTGACGTCACATAGTGCTTCCCTTCCATATAAAATGTGGGCAAAAATAGAATTATGAACGGATTTAAATGAAAATTCGCTTCTTAGTAAAATTGAGAATGCTAAATTCAAAAATGAAATTTGTTTTTGGATAGCTTTCATACTTTCACTTTAAATGCAATTTGAAGTTGAAAATTTGAATTCTTGTGGCTTTTACATAGGTATGTATGTACAAATAGTTCGTTCTATTTTCAAAAGTGAGGTGTCAAATGACAGGGCTTGTCCGGTAGATGTGCAATAAAGTTTTATTTTATTGAAACGGGTTGCCACCTGTTACAAATTTTATTAAAATTATTTAATAAGTTAAACGAACTAGATGTTACAATATGGGTATCAATTGAAATGGTTTTGAAAATTAATAAGTTAAACGAACTAGATGTTACAATATGGGTATCAATTGAAATGGTTTTGAAAATGCTTTACTTTTAAACGACACGTAGAAGGCTTTCCACATGTTAAAAAAGTCAAATTCACTTTAATTAAGGGAATAAGGTAACTGAAATAGTATATCAATAACGGTATGAGACAAAAGAAAAAAATGGTCATAATAGGCAAGAAACAAGTGAACAGTAAAAATATTCCTGAGTTAATTTAAAAGTCCAGTAATCTAAAAGGTATGTGATCGGAACAAATCACTGATTGACAATGTATGTACATATCTATACATATAATAAAATTGTAACAGGTCGATGTCTGTACATTATAGATATTAAAGAAAAATTGAGGGGGTCTTTATTAGAGCACCAGAAGCCAAATCAACCATTTTTAGAATTTTCTGTATGTCTGTATGTTTGTTCGCGCATCACTCGAAAACGAATGCATGGATTTGAATGCAGTTTTCACCGATGTATTGATAGAGGTCTAACTTAAAATATAGGAAGAAAAAAATTAGAGAGTTGCCACCTGTTTGAAAATTGGAGTTTAACCCTCTAAGACTACTTTCTAAAATAATGGATACAAAAAAGTTGAGCATATTTTTCTTAAATGCTTTTTAGCCACTAAATCCAAATATTAGCTCAGAAATGATGTAAAAGTTTTAATTTTCTTGTAAGAAGAGAATATATGAATGCGTGCCTGAAGGCATTCTTGGGGTTTTAAGGGTTAAAAAAATCAGATTTTTATTATGTTGTTCTAATAAGGTTAGCTTTATTTTTTTTGAGTGATAGTCAAAAAAACAATTTTTGCTGGCTGTGCAGCATAAGTGCAAATTGCATTTTGTGCAAATGCACTGTGTTTGCGAAGTTTTATATAACTTGCACGACCTCCTTCCACTATTCCGATCCATCCAAACCGGGAAATGGTTAAGCTGATCAAACCGCAGGTCCGATATTGGATGCTTTGATTTTTCCCCAGCTTTCAGGCCCTCAAAGGAGGACGACTGCCTTGTTTGACTTGTCTGTAAAGTTCGATGAGAAGATGGCGACAGCATATTCCGATCACTCGGATCACGGCTTGTGCGACCTGGCAAACGTTTTTTTTGAAAAGCCACCAGACCAGCAGCAATCGCTTCACGAAAATCTGGGAGTTCAAGCAGTTTGTCTTTACTTTTTTCTTTTTGTATGCGTCTGTATAAAATATATGCGTTTGTTTCTGCCATATCCACCAAGTGATAAAAAACTACGAACTACCAAGATCTGGGTGACCAGGCAAGATTACGTTATCTCCTGCGCCGCTGTAAATCTCGAAGCGGTAGGTGTTCATCGACGCACAGACGGG